ATTCACTCAACCTGTAAAGCACTAAGTTTCACCCAAGGATATTTGACCAGTACATGTATTGTAGTCTAAGCTTTCCTTCATTTAATCACACCTTGCAAGTGTGCCCAGCTTTGTCTGTGTTGGCAGCCCCTAATTCTAACTCCATCCCATACATCTCCCTTCTTCCTCTTCACCAGGTCTTCCTTTCCCCTTTACCTGGTATTCACTCAACCTGTATCAGCTGCTCCTCTTCACCAGGTCTTCCTTTCCCCTTTCCCCTGGTATTCACTCAACCTGTGAATCAGCTGCACATGAATCAGGACTTTTTGAGTCCTCTCATACACATGTGTTTTCTCCTTCTTCCCTTCTCTGGTTTTTCTCTTCTTCCTCCCTAGCCCTATCCAGCACTAGTTGTTCCCCCACCGCCATTTCACTTCCAAGCTAGAAGTTAGCTATTCTCATTCAAGCAGCCTTCCTTACCTATTTTAGCTTAGATTAGGCATCCTTCAGTCTCGAGAGACTATGGTAACATGCTCTGTATGGAGGTCTTGGAACAGCGTCTAGTGTGGCTGAGGTCAATTCGAGAGTGACAATCTCTTCCACACCGAAGACAAATACAATCTGTCCCTTGTCCAGCTCCCTAGTTTTGCTGGTTTCGGGACTGCCTCTTTGCCTTGGCCTGCTGGACAAGGGTCTCTTCAAATTGGGAGAGGCCATGGTGCACCGCCTGCCTCCAGGCTGAACGCTCAGATGTCAGGGTTTCCCATCTGTTGAGGTCCATTCCTAAGGCCTTCAGATCCTGCTTGCAGATATCCTTGTATCGCAGCTGTGGTCTTCCTCTGGGGCAATTTCCCTGCACTAATTCTCCATGCAGGAGATCTTTTCGAATCCGACCATCAGCCATTCTCACAACATGCCCAAACCAACGTAGATGTCACTCTTTGAGTAATGTATACATGCTAAAAATTCCAGCTTGTTCTAGGACTACTCTATTTGGAACGCTGTCCTGCCAAGTATTACCAAAAATGCATCGGAGACAACGCATCGGTGACAGAGTGCTGTCCTCTGAAGATGCCAGCCACAGAGACTGGCGAAACATTAGGAAGAACAAACCTTCAGAACGTGGCCAAAGAGCCCGAAAAACCCACAACAACCATATGTTTTCCTTTCTCACCAGGTCTGTTCACCTTCCATCCCCATTGCTCATTCAGTCATTTTCTCTCCTCATTTTCCTACCAATGTAGGATGGGAAAGGGTAGATGGTTCTCTATTTACACAAACACATAGGGATGGAACAGGGTTTTTTTTCTTATTCTCTGCGTAGACAGTGTGCCCCTCCAAATAATAAAGTTTGCTACTTTATTCCTGGCTCAGCAAAACTACGAGCGAGAAGGATCTTGGAATTCAATTTCCTCCTCACCTTTCCACCCCATTTACTTTTAAGATATGATGTGATAAAGCTAAATATGAGCCAACCGTGTGATGTGGCTACAAAAAAGACAAATGCTATTTTAGGCAGCATTAACAGAAGTAGTTTCTAAATCCCACAAGGTGCTAGTCCCCCTCTATTCGGCATTGGTTAGGCCTCACCTTGAGTATTGTGTCCAGTTCTGGACACCACACTTCAAGAAGGATGCTGACATATTGGAACAAGTTCAGAGGAGGGTAGCAAGGATGATCAGGGGTCTAGAAACTAAGCCTTATGAGGAAAGGCTGAAAGAACTGGGCCTGTTTAGCCTTGAGAAAAGAAGACTGAGGGGAGTTGTAATAGCACTTCTTAGATATTTGAAAGGCTGTCATACAGACGAGGGAGAAGATCAGTTCTTGATCATCCCAGAGTGTAGGAGACACGCCACAACAGGCTCAAATTAAAGGAAGCCAGATTTCAGTTGAATATCAGGAAACACTTCCTGTTAGAGCAGTACGACAGTGGAACCAAGTTACCTCGAGAGTTGGTGAGTGCTCCAACACTGGAAGCATTCAAGAGAAAACTCAGATAATCATAATCACCTGGCAAATATGCTTTCCTGCGTTGAGCTGGGGGGGTGGACTTGATGGCCTTGTAGACCCCTTCCAACTTCATTTTTCTATGATTCTATACCGCCCCATAGTATTTAAAACACTGTCTGGGCAGTTTAGAATTTAATTATACAGGCTACACATTGCCCCCCCCCCCGAGCTGGGTACTCATTTTAGAATGGAAGGCTGAGGGAACCTTGAGCCAGCTTCCAAAATGCACTGCGACAGAATGCTGTACCAGAGCAGAATTTTGACTGTAATATTACAGTTTAATCACTGTGCCATGAGGTGCAGGATGGAGAGTGAGAACAGAGGAGGAAAAAAGAAACATACATACATACATACATACATACATACATACATACATACATACATACATACATACATACATACATACATACATAGTTTATATATGTAAACAACTCCCTCTTTGTGATAGAGGTGGCTATATCTCTGTGTTGCTTCTCCTCCCCCCCCCCGGGCCCTATAGCCAAAAAGAAATACAGTGGCGCCTTAACGATTACCTCGTCAAACAATTAATCTGCTTTACGATGGGTTTTTTGCGATGTTCCTATGGGGGGAAATCTCTTTACGACGATCAGTTCCCTGCTCGGCGCACCAATTCTTTGCATTACGACAATCTAAAAACAGCTGATCGGCAGGTTTCAAAATGGCTCCCCACTGTGTTAAGGACGGATTCCTCGCTATACAACCATCAGAAAATGGCCACCCTATGGAGGATCTTCGCTGCATGAGGTTTTTCGCCCATTGGAACACATTGAACGGTTTTCAATCCATTTCAATGGGTTTTTTAATTTCGCTTGACAATTTCACTTAAGTGATTTTAACGGAACGCATTATTGTTGTCAAGTGAGGCATCACTGCAATTGTTTCAGGAGCAGGCCATGTGGGTGTGTGGTGGGAGGGGAAGGGAGAGAAGCTAGAGAGAGGTACGAACTGCCAGTTTGACACGTTTCATTTCCTGGCCGAATAGCTGATCGGTGGTTCAGCATGCCATCCCCTCCAGCAAGCACCCACTCAGCAGCCGTGTTAGGAGGAGACAGGGCAGGGTGCTGTCAGTGGACGCCCACTGGAGGAGGTGGAGTGCCAAACTGCAGATCAACTATTCGGCCAGGAACCGAACTGCACCAAACTGCTACTGAACCAGCAGTGAATGCTCTTCTCTAAAAGAAGCTATACACCGCGAGGTTACAAAAAAGTGCACTGGGAGCACATGGGCGTACTCTGATGACTCATCCTGTTAGGAACACAATTGGTAGGGAAACCGAATCTGGCACTTACACATATATACCACGCATTCTCAGCCCCTCCTCTTTCCAAAAGCCTATCTTCTCAGAAACCCAAAGTGACTAGCGCTTGCTTTGCATCACCTAGGGAAAAAAAATCTGTTCAGCTGCTTTCATATCCAGTGAGTCTTGCACTATTAAACTGGTTTTTCAAAAGCATCTAGTGCAGATTTGGTTTCTGTAGCGTTTGTCTTGTGCGGTCTAATGATAGGAAATGTTACTTTTTTTTTTTATTAGAACACCCACTTTCTCCAGCAAACATGGTCACTAGCCATGTTGGCTTTTTGTGTTTTAGAAGATGGAGTCTGAACAATTAAATTTCTCAGTATGTTGAGATTATTAAGGGGCCCTATCAAGGCTGGATTAATCATTTTGCTATATCTGCTTTTAACAAAATTCTGTGTTTGAAAAGTGTTACAATAGGCATTTCCCTGAGAGGCGTAGCCATACTTTGTCCTAAGCATGTGTCTAGGCTTGCGGGGAGGTGGAGAATGCGAACTGGGAATAATGGTTGCAGGGTATATTCTGCTAGGAATGCTACCTAAACAAATCTTTCATCAATTCATCCTAGCATTTTAAAATGATTGTTTAATTAAATTTGCCATCTATCGGCATATGAATCACTTAAGTCTGAAGAAACTGTAACTTTCCCACAGCAAGCACCTTCTTAAAAGGCATTTCCTCCTGTATGAAACAGGAGGAATGACTATACTATAATGGAAGCTGCCATCTGTAGTTTTAATGTTGTTTAGTCGTTAAGTCGTGTCTGACTCTTCATGACCCCATGGACTAGAGCACGCCAGGCCCTCCTGTCTTCCACTGCCTCCCGGAGTTTGGTCAAATTCATGTTGGTAACTTCGGTGACACTGTCCAACCATCTCATCCTCTGTCGTCCCCTTCTCCTCTTGCCCTCACACTTTCCCAACATCAGGGTGGTAATGAACACTTAAGTCTTTTTTAAAAATAATTTTTTAAGAAATGTGTTGCTTGATTAATCATGGCCAAAACTGTTTTGTGTCATTTCAGTTTAACAAAACTAGAGGACAAAGAGAAAACCCAACTGGATTGCAAAGGAAGGAAAGTCCTATGAGCAGAAGGTTCGGCAGCTGTGCGGGGCACCAAAGTGGTTCTGCCTGCCAGACTCTCCCTTTCTACAGGATGCAGTGGCTACCATCACTCTCCTGAACATCATGTGTAGAATTCTTTACTTATACAGAGGAAAGGCAGACACCAGTGAATCTTCATGGAGTGGCATGAAACAGGAAGCAAACTTGTTTTCCGCTACTTCAAACAGGAGCACCCAAGCAAATAGGATCAAATGACAACAAAGAAGTTGTGACTAAACACTAGGAATAACTTCCTGACAGGGAGTGCTGTTTGATGGAGGAATGGGTGTGCCTTGGAATTGCTGAATTTTCATTTGCTGGAGGTTTTTGATAAATGTTGGATAGCCATTTGTTAGGGATGCATTAACTGTGGATCCCTGCACGGCCAGCAAGTTGGAATAGGTTACGTTGGGATTCCTTCCAGCTCTGCAGTTCTGTACTTCTATTCATTTGAAAGCGATGTAGAGACCGCAAGATAACCTCCCTTTTTATTTATTACAATGTTTTAGGAAGCAAATTGAGTTAGACCACCAAACAGTAGGGTTTAGAGGACAAGCAGACTCTTCATAAAACTGTACATCCATTTCCATCATAGTTCTGAGAATTTTTCCAATAGTTTTATTAACTAGAGAAAGCATAATATTGCATCTGTCATACAGCCAATACATTTCCAACTTCTACTTGAAATTCTCTATACAAAGTCAATGCAAATAAGATAGATTGATGGGATAAAGAGCTTAAAATAACCAAGAGGTATAAAAACAAGTTTGCCATCTTGCCCTGAGTAGAAATTTTGAAAGATTTAAAAATAAAATCAAAATTCTCAGTGATGCAACCATAAGCATGATTATGAAGTTCTAAGACGGCATTCTCAGTTCAATGAAACAAATATCCATGCTATCTCAACTGCACAAGTTTAATAAGCTCATTGATGTTAGTTAAAATCAGTTGGGAACAGTGATGAAAATATGTTCCTATCATTAAAACATTTTTTACATAATTTGACCGGCAGTTCTCCTGGCTGTATTGTTCATGTCGCATTTAAAATTAGACTCGGCTTTGAAGCCCATCCATTTTTAGTGTATTTTAAAATATTGTGAATATAAATATTTCACATAGAAGTCTCCCTATGAGAGATGCCCCAGTAGAACAGAGCACTAGAATCCTCCCTTTAGAATCATCAACATGGTTTTGTTCTTTTGGGGGAACCGACTGAGGACAAGGCTAAATAACTGCATAAATGGAACCTGACCTCCGGGGCTCCCTGAAATGCATAGGATTGTTCAAAGTGACAGCATCATGCCATCTCAATGAGAATTCTGAGGAGCTCCACTGAGCCAAGTGAGATTCCCAAGGAACAGGCATAGCAGTGATCACACCAACAGACCACAATAAAAAGTATGCTGGCTCGTGCCAGTTTCCGACCACCTCAAAAATGAAATCTGAAGCTGGGAACGCCTTCAGATTCACAACAAGTTCTGTCTCTTTCTGCTGAGAGCAAGGTGGCAAAAACATTTTCTCTTTAAAACCTGGTTAAGAGGTTAAGCAGAATGGAAGTAAAATATATCTTCCAGTAATAAACAAAATGGTATTTTACAATCCACCATCCTCACTCTAGAACAGCTAACGGCAGCAAGGGGTCTCAGTCTAGCGGCTGGGGATCTGCAATAGGCATAGTGTGAAGTACTTCATCTAGGAGCTGGAGCGCACGGTGCAGGTGGATTTCAATCCAACAGGGTGTCTCTTTAATGCTCTGCCTTGGGTAATCAGGTCCCCAACCTTTGACAAAACTCATCCTCAGGATGCACAAGCGACGAAGGTCATCCACCCCGATCCCAGCAGCCGCTGACAAACCTAGAACGACACAGAACTGCAATAAACATTCTTTATTTCGGAAAGTCATTTGCGGCCATAGATCCAGTTCTGACTGGTCTGGAGGGAGGACCACCCTCATGACCCGTTATTTGTTGTACGCCATCCAATGTAGTGATTTATAAACTGAATAAATAAATATTACCTGCCAACAACACTTCAAGATTACTGCATATATTTTCTAAAACCACTTTTTGTCAGGTCAGCAGTGCTTATCCTGGGCATTCATTGTCCTTTTAGAATGTCTCTCTATGCCACTGGCTAGGCAGAATTGGCCATTAACTGTGCCGCGGTGCCCACCAGCTCATTCAACTCTTCCAGATCCACATCTGAATCCTCATTTAACTAAATGTAGCATTCAGGTAACATTTCAAGAACGATTTCTAGCACCCACCATTCAGAGCTGAAGAGTGCTTCCTCAGATTTCAGTAAAAGATCATGATGATGTTTAACAACCCCTGCTTCTACCCTGCAGAGCTACATTAAAGCATTTTTTTGGTTAGAAAACTTAATCCATATAAACTCAGCAGGAGATACAGCTGTTCCATTTGAACTGCTGCCTCTGATTTCGCCTGCTTTTAAAATATTCAAAGCGTTTAACCGAGAACTATTGCACCCTCTGAATTCCAATGGGAATGGAATTCTGCAAATGCTTTCACACCCAAAGTGCCTGCCAACTTCATAAGAGCACATCATACTGAAAAGCAGCAAAGCCAACCCTCTGAATACATCAAAGAAAGATCTATAATGGCTGCATTCTGAAAACAAACAAAACTATGGTGCTTGAACTGATAAAACAAGACTTAGTGACCAGCTGGCAAAACAGAATCACTTCATGCTCTGATTAAGATTTGCAAGTAATTGGTTCTGCTATGTAGCAGGTAGAACCACAGTCTTATCCCTTGCTGTACGTGTCATACAGTACCTGGAGATTAGAATATTGAGCAAAGGGAGGATCAAAGACAGTATAAACCAGTTGTGTTTAGAGATGCTGTTATTTGCAGAATCTCTGAAGTCACGGGGAACTGCCCCCCCATGCGTTTTCTCCAAATGAATATTTACTCTGCTATTTCAGGGACATAATTTCTATCATATTTACTCTGATTCACTCACAAACCTATTATGTTTGGTTTATTAAATTAAAAAGTACAATTTGAACAAAATATACAACTTACTGACTTTGCTTTTAAATTTATTTGTTTAACATGTTCACTTACTGATGCTAACAAATGCTCTTGGAAAAGTTTATGAATTTTTTTTTAAAAAAATGATGGATTGTACAACAAAAACAAATAAATCGGCCCAAATGTTATCAAAATGTTGAAATATTTTTTATAGTTAAGAAACTGTAAGACTTAAATGGATAAAATGGGCTTGGGGGGGAAGACCTATTTTCTTTCAAGCTTTCACACCTCTACATTTGCTCAAATATTTGGGAGCTCAACCCATGGTTTGGATTCTTGGCACAGCCCACAGTTAGGGCATGTCATCTGAAATGAAATGACACTCAGTTTCCCTTCTTCTTGCTAGGAGGATTTAAAAAAAAACCCAAGGAGAAGAAAATGAAGAAGGCCGAAAGTTATTGTTCATATACCACTTACTGATGGCTGGAGCAATTCCTCCTACAGATCCTGGCCCAGGGATGTTTCCTGCAACTGCAGCAGCTTGAGCAGCAGCTGCAGCCTGGGCTGTAGCAGCCTGCTGTTGCATCTGACGGTGGCACTGACGTAAATCAAACACCTGAAAGAGAAGCAACATCTACTGCAGCTTTTTAACACTCTCCCCCCCCAAAAAAAATCCAGCAAAAGCAGAACAAATTGAAATGCACCCCCTCCCACAATGGCCGCGCTGTGTATTTTGAGGGTGAATTAGGAGGTGATTAAAAGCCAGCCGTGTTGTTGGTTGCCTCAAAGGCAGCCCAACGTAGAGTGTGTTACAGTGGTCTAATCTTGAGATTACAAGCGCATGTACCAAGGTAGTGAGCGCCCCCATGTCAAGGTAGGGTCGCAGCCGGGCAATCCGCCAAAGGTGGAAAAAGACATTGCGAACTACCGACGCCACCTGGGTTTCCATGGTGAGCGTCGGCTCCAGGTGTAACCCCAGGCTGCGAACCCCATTCTTAGCAGCCAGGGTCACACACCCCCCCAAAATGTGAGCGAGCCACCCAGGCCACCAACTCCAAGGGCGTCCACCCTCAGAACTTCCGTCTTGTCCGGGTTCAGCCTCAGCCCATTTTCCTGCATCCACTGCAGTACGGCCCCCAGGCAGCGCTGGAGGGACAGGACGGCATCACCTGTAATTGGTGAAAAGGAGATGTAGAGCTGGGTGTCATCAGCATACTGATGACACGAGGCTCCACACCCCCTGATGACCCCACCCAGCAGTCTCATATAGATGTTAAACAGCATTGGGGAGATAATCGACCCCTGTGGGCCCCCACAACTGAGATTCCACGGGGCCGAGACATTCTCCCCAAGCTGTACTCTCTGGGGTCGGACCTCCAGGAAGGAACGGAGCCAAGCTAACGCCAAGCCACCTATTCCAAACTTGGAGAGCCTCACCAGGAGGATATCGTGGTCGACGGTATCAAAGGCCGCTGAGATGT